CTCTCACACAGTCAATGGCATTCAGCACAACTGCTCATTACTAGCCTCAGCACCACCTAGAACCTAGATGCACTAAAAACAAAACTAATGTATTTTAATATATGATATACAGAAAAACCTTGTTTCCTTTATGTGGTGCTGCACAAAGTCAGCAAAACTGGCGAATTTTCAAATGCATGACAGCCTGGTTCCACTTTTGCACTGACAATTCCCTAAGACAGCAGAATATTGAATCCTATGCTTTTCTTCCCCAGATTCCTGTGTTTTACTTTAGATATAAGCACGCCTTGTTTGTTTGCAGAAATGATGTTTGGGATTCCTGGGAAACTGGTGTTTTAAATCAACATAGATAATATACAATTGACCAGATAAGGTGTGAAACCAATTTTTTAAACATACTATAAAGGAATGTATTGTACGAAGTTCTTGAAAAAAACACTTTGATTAACAAATTCTAACTTCACCGTCACACTGCAAAATAAGAAGCCTGTAGCTTGCAAATGTCTGCAAAGAAAGTTTTGTCCCTGCCCTAGTACAGACTGGCTATATTAAGAAAAATAACATAGAACCCTCTAAAGGTTCTGGCTATCCTGTGCATAGAATAACCAGTCAACTCGCAGGAAAATCTTCCACATGTTCTAAATGAAGAAAAGCGTTCCTAACTCAAATATTATGAGAATCTCTTACCTAAAACTGCAGTAAGTCGGTAACAGAAAATCTCATCAGTATCTCTCGATTTAATTCATAACTAACATGTTTCTAGAGCTCAAACTGAGAAAATTCAGCACAGAAAGCTCAAAAAAACTACTTGGGACTTGCTTTTAAAAGTGTTATAGTCAGAAAGAGCAAGCTCATTTTTGAAAACTACATTCCTTATTCCCAATTAGTAGGCCTTGATTTCAGCCCTCCGAATTAATTTATGCAGTATTCCATTCCTAAAACATTGAATGAGAATTGCAGCTAGCCCTTGCTGAACCAGATATCAAATTATTTAAGTGACCCATGCAGATTATCCCAACCCCAACATGCCATAGTAATTGAGAGAGACACGGCATATCTCAAATAACTGTTTCCCAGTTATTTGAGATATCTGAGTACATAAGAAGTCAAACATATTTTGGGGCAGGACACACTGCAGTGGCATAGATGTTTCAAGTGTTTAATCAAAATACAGCTTAATTTCTTTTGAAATACATCACAAAAGTGAACTGTTAAATCAATGCAGAATGATGCTGACTACTGAACTTGACAAAGAGTTTAGCAATCCTCACACACTCACCAGACATCAAAACCAAAATTAAACATAATGTGATGGTCTGAAGAGTTAAAAAAGCCACAGACATATATGACCTTCACTTAGCAAATGGCAGGTATTTTTAAGACTTTTTTTAAAATAAGCTTATCATGGAGTGAACTACCCTAGGATAACAGCTTCGACAAATAAGAACTTCCAATCAGCCAGTGAAATTCCTGGTATGAGTCTATATGCTCCAGCAAGAGCATGTAAGTTAGTGAAAGTGGTAAACACTTTACCCAAGGGTCAAAGTACTAACATCTCTGTAGCTCAGGACATCTTTTTGATGAATGTGAAACAGCTGGAATAAATATATCAAGGGTAACAATTGTGCTCCCATGGTAGATCCAGCTGCTGCAAAAATAAACCTGGGGGGTGGGGAGGGAAGCCAAAGAGTAAAAAACCTCAACAATATAAAAAAGCCTTCTACATCACACAGTCCTACTGCTTCTCCTTAAGTCCTTTTAAAACACAGGACTCTGCACACACTGGGTGAAAATTAATGCAGAGATTAATGTGTTAAAAGTAAAGCTAGCTTATAAAATGTTAAAAAAATCAAGGAATGATTGTTTTATTTAAACAGCAATAGTTTTCTCTTTAGTGATTTTTCTCCAGACTTGTGAAACATTTGTACCTACTAAAATTATTTTAAAAATGAACCGAGACTCATGACAATCCTGTTAATACTTTATTAGTGTAATTTTTTAGCTTTCTATTGGACAGAACATAAATGCAAACTCCAAAAAAAATTCAGAGTCCTCTGCCATTCAGTAGAAGTGACCATGGCAGCCTGTTTCATGTTCATTCTTTGTTACGGAAACAAGAGGAGGGGAAAGGGAGGGAAAAAGCATCAATAGAACAATTAGGCACACAGCTGACACTTATTGTACAATGATATGCACAAGTAATTTATAACAGTTCTAGTTATGAGATGTGTTCTTCAGATTTTTCCCTTGTAATATATGAGCTTTGCTCCAATGAGCAAGGATCACTGAGAACAAGAGAATTAACAAAGGAGTAACAAATAAGACTTTTAAAACAAGTCCTTAAATAAACTAACGAAACAACAGAATACAAAATTGTTCAGCTGAGAAGACATTTTTAACCTAGACTTCAGAACATTAAAAATTCATTTATTTTACAGCTATTCAAATACACACATGCATTAAATGAAAATATTGCACAAAATTAAAATTTAGATTGTGGAACTGATATAGTTTCATTTTGGTACACATTCTGGTAGCACTTAAAATTTACTGTTTAGTTCTAGCAAACACCAGCAGCACAAGCTTGAGGATGAACCAAATGAAAAATTCAATTGCTCGTTTTCTCTTAAAAATAATTAAGGCTAAAACAAGTGCATTTGTTGACAATGGCACAATTTTCAGTGGCCAGTCACAGCACCCAAAGGCCAGAAGATACACCCAGACACTTAAGTGCTGTATATTAACATTCAGTTTTGGAAACTTTCTAGGATAATAGGCTGCATGTGTTGACAGGGGAGGTATTCTAAATCGTTGACAGGAAAACCATTTAAATAAAGATACATACAAATTCTCTTTAATAAAAAGTATTCATTTCTGATGGTTCTTGCCAGCCAACAGGCACCACTGAATTATGAAGCCACATTCTGTAATTAAATACAGAAGACAAAACTTCAATACATATATACATATGCACACATGCGTATATAAATGTGTGTATAGGTATATGTATGTAATAAATTAATTGAGTAAACCCACTAATAAGCACGGTGTATTATGTTCAGTTCACATTCCTAGATATATTATTTTTGTACAGAAATGTACCAGATAATTTTTAAAAAAAAGAATCCCAAATTTGTATATTATCACTATCCTCTTGAATTTTTTATGGTACCTACAGATAGATAAAAGGTTCCACAGATTTGACAAAACAGTATTTGAACTTCCCACCTTTATACTGCATAACAAATTCAGTGACTTAAAAGACATAAATTAGGCTTGGTAGGATTAATGATATATTTACTATATCGCCAAGAACAATTGCTGAATGATCTTTCATCAGTCAGATATCAGTTATGCTTGAGCACCCTGACATCAGAGGAAGATACAGGCATGTAAACAATAGGAGCTGGCTATGCTGATTACTTCACACAGAACTCAAGAATTTTGTTAAATTTGAAAGCATTTAACCGTCACACTTCTACAGAACCTGCAGAGAGGCAGGGAGAGGGGTTCTTACATATTTACCAAGTTGTTTTCCTAGGGATTACAAAAGAAAGGGATTGGTTTTTACAGCATTTAGTTCTGCAATAAAGAAAAAAAACCAAGTGCACTTGAGCCCATGCATACTGTATGAGAATGTTAACAGTACAATATGATCATCATTAAGTAGTATGATAAAAGGCTACATTTCATTAATAGAGTCCATGAGAAAAAATGATCTATATAGAGGCTTCAGTCAATTTAACTAGGTCCTTTGAGAGCCTTCTATCTTCTCTTAAAATGCTTTCATAAAAGGTCTGTGTTCCCCTCTTGCATAAAAGGACCATTTGTTCCCATTAAGACACAAATTACTACAAGGATCCTTGGGATCCTTGATCCATAGCCGTATCTTACCCTGTGTTTAGCGTTCAGGACAAAATGGGACTCTATAGGATTACCTTCTATTCACTCAGATAGTGATGCTCAAACAGCTGGGGACTATGAAAAAGAAAACACAAACTGAGATATGCTGTGGCCAAACAGGATTATTCCATTGTTACTGTATTTTTAATGGGACAGAAATTCGTTACTGGAACTAAACAGATGGATGTGGGGCCTTGATGTCAAATTTTTATTACAATTTTACACTATGCAAAAAATAAAAAAATTACTTAAAAAAATATTGTAGTTTTATCTCCTTTTTATTTTCATATATACACTGAGATGCATTCAGAAATTTCCAAGTGTTTGCATATGACTAATGAAATCTTTTACCTGTGAGGAACCAACTAATTCTAACATTTTCCCATATGAGGCTTACACACTAAAAGGTAAGGAATCTTTCAATTAAGTAGGACATAGTCTTTTACATCCAACAAGTTTCAAATTTTAGTGGGGAGTTGTGTGTAAACTGTGTCTTAGTGCAATTTCCTCATCTTCTAACACAATATCCATCTTCTTTGAAACATGTACCCCTTTTTGTTCTACAACTATCAGCTTGATGTAGGTTCAGACAGACCAACTGAACATAAATATGATGCTCCTTCTCCACTGAAGTTACATGCAAAATGTATGTCAGGTGCTGTAAGAGCAGCATATGGCCCTTAAAGGTACAGAATAATGGGTTTGTTTCTACTGTACCTCTTACCTCTGCTTTTACTAAAACTCCCATTAGATATAACGTTAGTTTAATTTTCAAAACATGAAAGGTGATGTAAATGTGGCACAAAAGCCACATTACTTCAACCTTTCTTTAATAAATGTAATTTTATGATGGGGCTATAACTATTTCTCCCCTTTCCTATGAACCTGCTATTCCAGAGACTGCTTTTCCCATTGCCTCAGCCTTTACAGGAATGTTAAAATAGCCCTACAGAGCCTCAACAGTCATAACTTAGAACAATTCCACCTGACTCTCACACATTGCACTATCTCCCAGTGCCAAAACATCCTTTACTTCCACTGTATCACCACAGTTGTGCTTTACTTGAACACACTGGCACTTTTCATTGCTGGCAAAACATCGACTCAGGAATGGAAGGAATCAGCATTCTTATATATTGGGCCAGTTTTCTTCTCAATGTTGCATGAAGACGCACCAAATCATTTAAGACACACAAACCCTTCTGGTAGTGGTTGAACTACAAGTGAAGATGAGAAGATCCACAGGTCTTACAGATGCATTAATAATCTAATATGTGACACTAGAAGACTGGTGCAGAAATGACAGCATGTGAGTTTGAAGCCCCAGAGAATCTGCCCAAGTAATTAGTCCTGGACAAACTTACACCAGCTTAATAGGTTTGAAGTGTCACCTTTTCTGTAAGGAAGGCGCTTGAGTTGAGTGTAGTCTCTGCTTATATCTCTGCATCTGCTTTGATCGTGAATGCAGTTTGTTGAAGAGCTCAGGGAACTTATTTTGTGGAAATAAGGTTTCTAGGAATCTCTCCAGAAACACGTACACCATTCTCTTATTCAGCTGACTGTGCTGGAACATTTCGAAGACCCGAAGAATGCCTTTCCGCGTAGTCTCAGCGCCTATGATGTGCTTCAGTTCATCTACAAAAATGAAGGTTACCCAGAATTTTAAGCCAAATTCTGCTTCTGTAATAACAACAAACTTAAACTGAATATTAAGTCTTTCAAATTATGTAGCCTGAAATTCAAAGTAACAGTGCCTCTATTATACTCAACATGACTAAACTAGAAGTTTTCCTACAGCAGAAAGGATTTCTGAAAATTACATCATTTTTACCCTGTATACATAGAACCATGTCAGTTTATAAGAAATCATACTGTATTGGAATAAATGTATTTCACACACTAAAATGAAATCCTCTAGTGAAATTAAATACTGTGTTGGTTCTAAGAGAATTACAGTTCCAAATTCACAGTATGTGTGAAAATGTCCAATGCTTTAATAATTAAAAGCCTTCTTATTTAAATACAGTTCATATGTCAGCATTTCTTTTCAATGCTTACAACAATCACCAAGAATCTTGACACTAATGCCAGTAACAATACGTGGCAAGGATTATTAGGCTTCAATCCCAGACTCACTTACCTGGCATTATCTCTAGCAATTTGGTCTTCCCTGCCACTCTTGTTCTCATTCTAATAGCTTTATCCCTTCGTGGAACAGTCTCTGCTAAAATGCCATTGGGCCAAAAAGCATCTCTGTAACAAAAGTAAATCTGTCAAAATACATTAACATTTTATCAAGTGAAAGGCTCTTTTAAGTCCCTCTCAGTTATCTCATAAAATAAATACAAGAAACTAATTTGCACATAACACACACTTCAAATATTGGAAAAAGAAAAGGTGAAAAAGAAATCAAAAGCAGGAAGTACAATACAGTCAACCTATTACTAATTGCCATATACTTTTTTGGACCCTAGGCTAGGTCTATTAATTGTTTCATCATATCTCTGATAGCAGTTAGCCTATCAACAAGCTAAAGCTAGGATGAAGTAGTTTCAGTGTAGTATAAAGCCCAATGCCTCTGTCTAATAAGCTATTTTGCCTCAGTGAATGACAATCTTTTCTGAGTAAGAAGTTCACTTTCTTCCTTGGTTTAATTAAGGAATAACAGAATACTTAGAAAGTATGACTCTTTGGTGAATATATTACCTGCCTTTTGTCTTTCACCCCAACAAAAATAACAAACCCAAATTATAGAAATGAAAAAAAAAAAAAGAGTGGATAACTCTTGCTCAGGAACAATGTAGAAGCCATTAAGACTTCGCAAATTGAAGACAGAGCCTTTGATACGTTCAAATTCAGACTTCAGTTCCACTCCATCTGCCCACATGTGAAATGTATTATTCAGGTGGGTTTTTAGTAATAATTGTTTGCCTTTTAAAGCAGGGTATGTACATGCCTTCATCAAAGCAAACAAGACACTTCATCCAGTAATACGGTGAAATTCCCAAGTATACCTGTATTCTAGCTCTTCTAGACCAGTTAACAAAGAATAGGAGAAAACTCAAAAATACTCTTCTACATGTGACAATTACTTCCACTTAACACATGTAAAGAGCAGTGTATGATCCAACTGGTACTCTGCAGAGTGATGATAATTTCTTCATATAAGAAGAATAGGAAAGACACACAGATATTAGACATCAAATGGCAAGTACTTCATATTTAACATCTGTGAAAAAAAACACCTTACCTGAAGCGTTTCACTGCATCTGCTACTTGCTCAGGAGATGTCATCCAATCAACATGATCAACTATTTTTCTAAAATCAAACAACAAGTATTTCATTTAATTTTTGGAACAGAAAGCACATTAAGTGAAGCATTTTAAAGAGCACTCTAGGGCAAACAAAGTTTAATTCCAGCTTTCTCCAACTTCATAAGTTAGTTCTATAAAACTGCACAGTAGGAAGGCAAACACTGATTCTCAAGATAAATACGTAAGCTCACTGATCACTCCCTAAAGCTAAAGCGTTTCTCTTTTTGAGTAACTGTATGAGAATGAAGCTGGCTACAAAACTGTTTTGTGCCTCCCATCAGCATTAGATAACTGGTTTGCCTGTAGAGCTCTCCTCTTCACAGAGCAATCTACAAGTTCTGCTTCTGTAAGCAAAGGACCTATACAGAATCTCATATACTGTATTTATGTATGCAGTTACTTCATAACCCTTAACTGGAGATACAGACTGTTCATTCCATCAGACCTTCACTCATCAACACATACACAAAGCTCGATATTCAAATCTAGGATTCTTATAGAAATGATAGATGCAGCTGCATATCACCATAATCCCAGGACTGTTTCCCTCACTACAATTTCAATTTAGTTTTCTAAGAAATAGAAAACCACAATTTTGCTGCAGAATGCCATTAAACCCCAAGAACCTGCCAGGAAAAGGTACGACTTCTGAAGCAGAGGAAGCCAAGAATATCTCTGCAATGGCTCCAAATGCAGAAGCAAAATAGTACCACACACATCTCTGCAATAAGGAAGCAGCAGCCTGTGCAAAAACTTAGCTACTTATACTACAATCCAGAAGCAGCAAAAAAGTATTCAGAGCCATTCAACAAGGCAGCATGTTTTTGAAAGCACAGGTCTCAAGATAACTCCTCATGGACAGGTGACAACTATTTGAGAAAGAGACAGTGCTATTTTATTACATAGTTGCATCTCTACTGGTACCACAGGTCTGTATGTTTAACAGTGATGATGAAACATCACAAATAGACTCGTGAAGGATAAAAAGCAATGATACAGTAAGAAACATCCTAAAAAAGTAATAGGAAACTCCTTCTCACCTCCTAGAAATTAAGTTTCTGATTAATGCACTAAAACCAAAGTGACAATACAGTGCTTTTTTGTTCAGTATTTTTATTTACATTTCAGAAATGAATTATTAGAAGGGAAAGCCTAGAAACTGTAGATTTCTAAGCTGAGGACAACAAACATTACTTATTTAGCATGACTAATAAAGGAAATAAGGAAACGTGAATTACAGAGAACACGGAGGGGGCAGAGCAGACCCCATAATAGTCCTTTTCCTTCGCCCCTTCCCCTTTCAAAGTGTGAGAGCAAAAACTTAACAGAGCAACTCAGTACAGTTCACATAACTTCACAGTGCCAGTGTATCATTTGTGGCATGAAAAGATGTAAATAGAAATAGTGCAGACAGTAATAAGTAATATTAATAACAAACAGTATAGTTGAAAACACGAGGCAAAAAGCAACAATATTAAGTTACATTCACAGAAATGTGAACTCTTGTTGGTATGTGAAAGCTCTTTTTTAAGTTCTCTGGCATGTAAATGTTACTGGAATTTGTCCTTCAACAATGTTTTGTGTTTCTTTCCATTTTACACTATATTTGTACTTGGTTTATCGATCCTCTTCAAAGGGGAATGCACACAGATTTAAACCAAAACAAACTAGTAATGCCAAGAAGGATTTATAGACGCAGACTACAGAGTCTCACTCTCACATTGTTCTATATAAGAAAAGCAGTACCTGTTAATTGTGTCACCATATGTAGCTCTAATAAGTTGCTGAAGCAGATTTTTAATATTTCTTCTTAACCACTGATTTCTTTCCTTTAAATCAAATACTTCATCCATAAGGAGCAGCATTACTCTCAGGGGAATATTGTCATCCACCTGACCATCAAGTAAAAAAAATAGTCAACTTTTATTTCAGTTCAAGAAAGCTACAGTTTTAGTAGCTACTCCTCAGGTCAAATGTTTCAGCATAAGCGCAACAGTGACAGAAACACTTTGTATTTTACTGTAATACAAAATCTTCCCTAAATCTTCTATAACATCATTAACAGCAAAGATTGAAAATTAATGATAAACTAGACTTCCATCCATTGGATTTTTAAAATAAGACAAAAGAGAAACAGTTATTTCAAAAGTCAACAGTCGTTACAAGAGTTAAACAAAATTAATATGTGCAAATATGTACTAAAAAGAGAGCTGGCCCCTGACTTCTTTGTTGGGTTGCTGTGCTTCCAACCCCCTAACACAAAAACTCTGGAAGGACCTTTTCTTTGGCATCATTTTCTGATGGATGCTAAAAATAACGACATTTCATTGCAATGTCATTGCCTTTTATTTAGGTGTCATTCTAACCTGCATGGCTCTAGGTATTTTTATGCTTGGAGCTTAAAAACAGGATCATAATTTTACTACTTAATAGAAGATGTACACAGATTAGCTTACAAAAACCACATCAGTATTATTCTTTTGCTGGAGTACACAAGTGAATCTTCAGGCACAACTGGAACACAGACAGTGGGTTCATAATCCAGCTGAGATTGTAGAGATCCATTCCTCACTTTTACAGCACCACTTCTCCAAGCAAGATTCCATTCAAATTGCCTTAGTGACTGCAAGTTGTGAGCAATGCACCTTAGCAGATCAGTTGAGAGCTGAAAGGTTTTAAAATATCTGAAATCTGCCTTTAAGTACCACTTGCTATGTTAATTTAGAAGCTATTAGGAACTGCAGCTTCTATTCATTTTACCAAAGATCAATGAAATACTTAAAGAAGCTGCTCATATACTTGAATTATACTGTTCTGGTTTGCCTATGCAAAACACAAGTTTCAGGAGTATTTGTAATTACAATTGTAATTACAAACTCGGGGATACAGTCCTATATAGTGCAAAATAATGGGGGGAAAAGAGAATCCAGAAGAACTCAAGGCTATGTTAGCTGAGTAAAAATACATCTACCAAGCCATCATGGCAGCTATGCACAGGAAGACAAACTGAAATTCTTTGATGTGATGAAAAAGCCTGAAACATGAAGGGCAGAACAGGTGCAGATTTATGACCAGAGCAAATTGCTTATAATTACTGGTAATCTTATGGCCTTTCTGTCCCATTTCAAGATAAAAGGGGTTATTTTCCCCGACTGTTCGCACATATATGATCAATCTTTCAATCAAAACAATAGCAAAATACCATAGCTTAAACTTCACTTTCAAGTTTCTAAAATTACTACTTTATACATTTTAGGTATCCACATATTAAATTTATTTTTTAGGAACACATTCTGAAGGTTACTTCCACGACAAAAAAGCAAACACTTCTTTTCATCCATTAAACAAATGTTTCTTAAAAGGTCACATCAGAAATCAGATCCATAAAATGCCAACTGGAATGATGCTAACAGTCTGGTACCACACTATCTTTGAAAAGACAGAAATTGGAGGGAGGAGGGGAAAAAATCCCTAAAAAAACAACCCCCAACAACAAAGCACAGGAGCAGTAGCATGTACAATCTCAGCTATTCTACTGTGCAAACCACTGCAGTATTAACAAAGATACTTATTTTAGAAGGAAATATGTAAGCTGCTTTTTAAAATGTTAAAAACTGTTTTAAGTGCCTGGTATAATGTCAGAAAACAACAGAAGTGTAGTGTAACAAAATAGGTAACTCATTCATTTGGTTTTAGAGGAGTCAGCTTTGAAAAGACAAATATCAGACTCACATTGTCATCAATTGGTGCTGCAACGCGGCAATGGTCAGGATCTGAATAGGTTTTCTGGATTAGAGGTGGCACCTACAATAAGAAAGGTTATGATTAGAAGGAAAAAATACTTTAGAGTATGACTAAATCAGACAAATTTTCATAAGCAATCTGGTTATGAAAATAAAATACCAACTTCTGGTCAAACATTGATTGCATACCACTGCAGATAAATGTACAGTAGTTCTTTCACCTTCCAAAGCCAAAAATCAGGCCTGTACGTATTCTCCTATAGATATCAAATTTATCAACATCTTTAAGACAATCTACATGTAAATTTCTCAAGTGTCTAATGCTTCAACAGAAAACTACCTAAAAACTCTTATGAGACTAAAATTTCTTCTGGTATTTCCTCTTCATCTTAAGTCCTACTTAGTCATGGACTTCCCAGTGAGTATAACTGCAAACACAAGGAAGTTACCAGCAGCGAGAAAGTCCAGAGACAGTCACTTTAACCAAAAAGTAATTAAAAAGACAAAACCAAAACAAAACACCAGCCACTACCACCCTCCCACCCCCCTCCCCCAATTTATTATTCCTTTTGATGATTTAAGGGTTAACTCACTCATCTCGGTTGCTATTGCACATCTGCCACATATAACTGTTTTCGCAACACAAAATGAACAATCCCTGACCACAGATCTTACAGCTACACACAGAAAGAGGAAGACAAGAGAAACGAAGGCCAGATGAACATGTCACTAAGATTACTACTTTCATAGGACTTCTAGATGGCATGGCACACCATTCCCTACCTCTGAAGTACTATATTTTAGGAATGTAGGAGATGAGGAAAGACGGCAGGAAAGACAGAAAGAAAATGTAGTTAAAACCAGAATTCAGCAAGGAATAAGCGGAAAAGAGGCTATCTCCTTATTCTAAGTTTTAAACTATATGGGTTTTCTTCCCTAATGAAAGAAGCAGATGCAGCCAATTAGCTTCACAAGATTGGCTGGATAAAAACTAAGAAAATCAGTCTTTCTCATGTTCTTCTCAAGCGGCTGTATCGAGATAAGTGAAGGATCCCTGTAACAGTCTGTAGGTGCCACCGCATTACTTAATAGCAAAGAGAACTCCATATTTATAGTACAATGACTGCTGAACATTATCCAAAGGGTGCAGGTATAAACCCAACTGGTTTTCTGCCTAATGACCTGACTCTCCTTTATAGTATATAACATAAGCTGAAGTGAGTCAGTAGCTAATCTATTAATTTACTAGTATGTATTAACTACCAATATTTTCTTACCTTGAAAAATGATTGCTTTATGTCTTGTCCCAATCTCTCTGACATTTTACCCATGTTGTCTGACATTTTAGTCATTCCCTCTGCCAGGCTGTCAGGGATAGACTTGACTGCATTTGATACGTTTCTCATAGAGTTACGCAGTGGGTTTACAAATGTGTCCATCTGAAGGGGAAGATGTTTAACCAGAATTGCATAATCTATGAGGACACCAGTATATTAATACACTATGACAAGTACCACACTGTTCCAGAGAACAATAAGAGTACAAATCTAATTACTTAACTTCATTACAGAACGCAGAAAAAAGTTTTAGCTTCGCTTCCATGTATATTTCTCATTCCTTATAGTCCTACTGTAGCTATTTACATCTTTCAACAGATGATTTCCTGAGTCATTTTCATTTCCCATCCTTCAGCTTTTCTTAGCTTGAATTTATTTTCTTCTTCTTCTCCATTCAATATCATTTCTCCCTTCTAAGCTTTCTACTTCCAGATGCTTCACTTCTGCTTTCAACTCTTCATCTTTGAGACACCCCTCTTTTAAACAGCACTGGAGTAATATGCTTTAGTATATTATACATGGCAAGTATAATTTAAAACACAAAATAGTCCCATAGAAACTGTAATAATTTTTCTTTCAGTATATACTCTAAATTCAGCCCAAAGGCACAAATACTAGTGCAGTGTCCTTAAAAAAGTTAACCTTATAAAGAATCTCATAAGCTGAATATCACATTACATAAACCTTGATAAATATTTAACTGTTTCACTGTTAAATGTTTAAGAAATATAGGTAGAACAACAACTTGAAGTGACAACAGAGTTGCAGAGGCATTCTATGTCAAAATCAGTACAAGTTTAGAAATGGCTGCATTTGCAAAGCAGATGGCCACACAAACTGGTCAACTGAACAAAGATTCACTTGTCTGAAGAGAGTTCTGGTGGCTTAACAAAAAGTATGAACAGCTCAGAGCTCTGAATTTGGCCAATGACTCTGGATGGTAACAACACCTAAATACCCAACAGGTGCTTTTGAAGGGAAATGCATATCATCTTTTGTGCTGAAGAGTGTAAAGCATGATAACAGCAGCAAATACAGACTAAAGAACTGAAAAAAGGTATCAGAAACAATGAGACTACAATAAAATAAATCACGGATGTCTGACAGAAAGCAACTTGCAACGAACAGACTTTTACAGTAGTCTTGGAGCAATACACCGTGTCCAATTTGAAAATTTTATCTGCTTGTCATACAAATAAATTTACCTATTATAAAAATAGTAAGATTTTGGTTCCATAGATCCTCAGATAATTCGCCACTCAAAAAGTACTAAAGCAAGCTGTTTTGAAAGTGCTATATTGCTGTTTAATCTGAGTTCAAAATACAATCATTGCAAAAATGAATGCTCTAAAGTTCTCCTGACAGTGCAAAACATTCTTACCTTCCGTGCAAAATCCCCCTTCCCTTTGCTGTAGGCTTTATTCTCCAGGAAGTCATGCACATAATGGGCTAAAGCTGGAGAAGCTTTCATCATTTCAGGATTTAACAAAAGCTGAGTAAAATAATTTTAAAGTTGTTAAAATAAATAATGAACAAGGCATAAGCAAAGATTCCACATCTTGCAATGTATTTTTTCATTCATACCTAAATTTTATTCCACCATTAACTACTCTCAAGTTGGAAACAATGGGTTCCTTGGTAATTCCCATAACCAGTACATTAATTATAGCATCTCACAGAAAAATATCTACCTTTACAACCACACAAAGAGTTATTTCACAATGTTTTACTCATCTTTCATTATTTAATGTTAACATGACCATTCAGTTGGTCAACATTTTTGTGCAAATGATGAGAAAGTCCCTATGAAGTAAGACAACTGAATTCCTTTGTTTGGGCTGATAGAAGCCTTATTTGACTGGAGAGGCTGTGTGGTTTGCTACACCACCAGAGTGGGTACCACAGCAATCCTTATGCAACAGCACAACAGAAAGTGACCACGAATATATGTTAACAGAAGAAAGTCAATGGCATAAAGCTCAAAACCAACACAGCTGGAACCTCACCAGCTTGAAGGACTTGTGACAGAACTGCCTCAAAATAAACCAAAACAGCAAAGAAAAGGCAAACTTACTGGATAATATCAAGTTCTTATGGTATATTATTTAGGATTATATACCACCTAATTCCAACCAAGCACAGAGCCAAAAAAATATAACAGCTTACCTGCAAATATGCATTTAAATCTTTTTTTCTCTTTTCCAAAAATTCTCTGTCCATGTTGTTAAATGTTTTTTTGCCAGGAAGTTTCAGTATATTTGCTAGGTTTTCAAACTAGAAAAAATGAGAAGATTTTTTGTTCTGTTTTCAAGAGCTTCAAATCACCATATAAGGACATTATATTCACCTATTCTTATCTACCATAAAACACCTGATGAAAAAATTTATCGATCACACCTAGAACTCAGATTTCTTGGAGGAGCCAAAATGAAAGATACGCTGTCAAGAAAAAATGCATGAAAATCCTCAGGAGACTATCAAGGGCAAAATGTAATTCCTGAATTAACATGATACTTTTGAAATACAGACTAATATAGTGTGCAAAAGGCTTAGGCTCAAGATTAAGCATTATTATCTGGCCAGAAGTTAGTCATGTTATGAGACTACATTAAGAGAACTTGCAACTCTTTCTAAAACCTCTTCCCTTTCCTACCCTGATCAAGTCTACTAAAGAAACGATTAAGTTTTTATCCCTGGAGCAGATGGCAGCATCCAGGTTACACACAGATTATCATACCATGCTCAATATGCCAATACCTGTGCCTTTTCTCCAGGTAATGACAGTGATTGGCACTGGTTGACATGTATTCATTCCACTGTTCCACTTATACAGAAAATAATGGCAGTTCCAGGGAAGCAGCAGAGAAAGAAGAGGCCTTAACACTCAAGAAGGCTGAACATACTTGTTACAATGCACAAAACCAAAAAAAGTCACGAGAACAAACCTCAAACAATCAGGACTATCCCCATATAGAATTCAGGACTTCCTTTAAACAATAAATAATATTCTTTAGATAGTAAAGAGAAAACATATACTATTAGTATCTAGGATTTAAAAAACAACTTGGAAACAGATTGCATCCTTTTCTATCTAGAAAAGACCACAAAATTACAGATTTAGTGAGATTGATTGCATTCAGTCTCTGCAAGGTCTCTTTTTGCATCATTGAACTTTGGAAGGCCACAAAGCTCATATACAATTCATGGTCTGTAAGAATTAACAAAGAATAACTCTTTCCAACTTTACAAATCCTATTCCCTTACAAGTAGGTCGTGTGGGATAATAATTGAACAGAAGATGATCTAGCTTTTATTTGGATACTTGTACCTAAGCCGATGCAATGTAAGCAATGAAGAGTCTCCATTTTAACACAGATATCTACTTCAAATGATATTATGTTACTGACTAAAGAAACTAGTGTGGATCAATTCAATACTGTAAGGAAAAAAGCTGATAGATACAGAGTGAACTTCATTTCAGATCAAGTATTTTTAATCAAAACCAAACAATAATCCCTGCCCTTCCTATTAATTTTAAAACAAAGATTCAAACACTTACCCTGAACATGTCAATAAAAATGTCTCAGATAAGTACACAAGACAACAGGTATGTCTATTTTATTGTCAAAAAAACCAAAACTTGGGAGTTTCTGAGATGCTACAGTGCAGGACAGGAATTTGTATAGTTTTTGCAATCTTAGTGTTCTAAGATAACGCTTCCATTCTTTGCAAGTTCAAAGAAATCAGACTCAGCATCAAGAAATTTCTGAGTTTCTGTATTTTGAACATTTTTGATTTTACCATTTTTTTTTTCTAGTCATTTACTGTTGGGCTAGTTTTAAATGACTGCCCCATATCAGCAGAACATTAACTTGCTATTAGACCTAAGAACTCATCTGCTTCAATAGATCAAGGATTCTCCAAAACAGAAAAATAATTTAAAAAAAATCAATTTGAAGGAGTCCAAAAATTGTTCAAATTAACTGACATCAGACTAAGATAATCAGAAATTCAAAGGAAAGTCAGACTTTATTTTATGATTAACCTAAATATTCAACACATTTGCCTTTTTAATATAGCCTTTTCCACTTTTACCACTGTTGTGGCTTTACAGTGCTAACCTACCTGCAGAAAATCTGTTCTCTATGCCTCTCAAATAGCAATAGAGGAATATAAACCGACACTTCTGATAGTTCAAAGGTTATGCAGTCAAATCTGACTTGTCCAAAGGCTTGGTTTAAAAGCACTTCACCTTTCTCTTAGAAGCACTTTTTTGACACCTTTCATGTCGGCAGGTTCTGCTTTGTACCAACCGGTGAATTACAACTGTATTTCTTCCTTCATTTTTGGAGGGTTAAGTGTCTGAGAATACAGGTGACAGAGCTAAAACACAGATAGTCTAGCAATTTAGTGAAGTTCTACCAGCTGTCTCTTTTGAGACCCCACCAATTCTTAACGTTTCACTTAAAACCCAAATACCTATTTCCCAAGGACGGTTTTTATTTCTTAATCTCTGTCACAAATACACAAATACATCACTGCTCGAGACCAACAGTTCTTCCCTACAAGCATTTTAAAGTAAAATTAAGCAGGAAGGGGAACTTTCAATTCCATTTCTTTCAATAGAGTAATTATGTAGTTCTCGAACTATATAAATGTGTACCTATAAAGATTTTTATGAGATGAATTACCTGTTCAGTGATCCTCATGTGGAAGTCATGGAAGTCACTGTAGCGTCGGTATGTCTTCCATGTCTCTTCACTGTTTGGATTTCGCCGATGGACTGTGATGGCATACAGTGCATATGTCTTGCCATGGTCATTACACACTCCTGCCACAGCATATGGGTCAGAGTCAGCATAGACTAGTAGTTTAAAAACAAAAATAAAAAAGGAACAAACAGAAAGAAGGAAGACGAAAGGACACAAACGTGAAGTGAAGAAATGTCTGGAATGACAGACTTGAAAGACAAAAATGGACATGCAAGCAGAAGAGTAAGCTATCCCTTTATCAAAAACACTGTATGAGTGATACCCTTCTAAAACTTAGTATCTAAACTTAAATAGAGATAAAGCAACTTTAAAGTTCAACAAGTTTCACTGACATGCAAAACAAGCAAAACCAGAAAAGGTTTCAACTTTTAAGAACAGTGAACAGATCTTTCTAAAATAATTTTAATTTAAAGACCTAAGATGGGGGTGAAAGACAATTGTGAAACCAGAAGAAATTCCAGTCTACAAAACAGTCTAATCATATTGCAAAAGTCTGCCCACCAAAAAAAAAAAATCTATAAATACAAGATAGTGATGGGAAGCTGCAAGCATTTAATTTTGTTATTAGCATTAGTAGTTACTACCTCAGCAGTTTCTTATTAACTCTTAAGATACAAAATACCCCTACACTATTTAAGTCTATATACACACGTGTGTGTACATAGAATGTATTCTCTGTGTGTACACACACATTTTATGGAGAAGTCAATTTATAAATTAAAAGAACACAGCTATCTGAAATAGACACAAACATTTTTTTTGATCTCCATTACATATTTAAGCCCTCTTGGATATTCCTCCATCACAGAATTTTCCCAGCATAGTTTGTTTCAAAACCTTTCATTTAATCTAGAGAATAACCCAGAACCAATATTGTTTGCACTGCACACAGCTTAATTTGTCAATATCTTTTATCTCTAAGTACTGAACCAATATCTAGCATCTACAATTTTCCAGCAGCTAGATGAAAATTAAGGTCTGTGAATTTTCCAATGCATCCACATTCCATAAAAGACATTTTTCCTGACAAATCATTCATACTATCCTCTGTGGTGTTTCCAATCTTGACTTCAGACTCTGAAGTACAATGCTTATGTCCAAGCAGCCAGGGAGCGCCAACAGGATAGTGGCAACTGCTGACAGTGCAAGAATTACACACTAGAGAGGTTCACGGTGGGCACAGAGCATCTTGTCTTTGCTGTCTACCCTCTAGAAGAATGGTGAATGCTGAACTTCATGAGGAAAGAGCAAGCAGTCAGGATGGTGCCAAAAGATAGCCCAGAGAATGGAGCAAGCCCCTATATCCTCTAAATTCACACTGACCACTTTGCCATGCAGACACCAGATCACATCTCGGGGCACTATTAAGCTGCAGCTTTAGGACTACCACTTCAGGACAGGACTGGCAGAAAAGCAAAGTTGTCCTGGTGCCCCTTATGTCATAGCCTCTTAATCAGCATTTATTTTGCAACACGAGGCAATGTGAATCGTCAAAGACACAGAGATGATGGTCTGTTTCTATACACCCTACGAGCACAGCAAAGGAGAGCAATCAGCAGAGGAACAGAGCCTCTGCTCACAGATGCAAGATGCACCGACTGCCCAAGCAGGGACTTGTATTTCTCAAACATGAGGTGAAGAGAAAGATTATACTCAGCTTAATACTCTCTAAAATAAAAACCTATACACATCCCCCATTTCAGCTGGACTATTATAGATTCAGAGTCACCCTGATAGTTATCAACACATTCTGTCATCAAGATCATAAATTTTAAACTTTGTTTCTAAACTCACCTTTTATTCTTAGATCAGAACAACAAAACTTCTATGCTTAATTCAGAAAAAAGTATCATGTGCCATTTTAATAAAAAAAGCAAAATTGTGATTCTTAACTTTCAAATTATTTTCCCCTTCTCTGAGGACTGACTGCCATGACACTTGGATTGCACAATGCTCTCACACTGGGTTGGAATAACAGAGTTTAATCAAAATGTCAAGTAGGTGAATTCTTTCTCACAGCTCATGCATCTGTTCTATAAATGCATAGCTTTAAAAGCCTACTGCATAAGAAAATCTACCAAACACGTATCTGAAGATCAATTCACAGTTTCACTGTCCAATGTAATCTCATCTAACTAGAGTATTTGCAGATATGAACATTTTTTGTTATTTACTCTCATGTAATAAATAAAAATTGATTACTAGGCAATTTTTAAAAAAAGATAACCAAAAATGCCACCACTATAAAGACTGAAGACACCATAAAAATTAAGCTAAGTCAATAAAGAAGCACAAAAATAGGGGGAAAATATTATTGTAAGAGAAGTAAATAATCAAGAACTAGAATTGTGTGACTAGAGAGATGGCTTTCAGAATTTCTTTAAATAATTGCTATAATAAATGCTACGTAAAGTATAATGAATGATTCCCCAGAGACAGAAAAAAAATAAAATATAAACAACCAAAACTAAATCACTTTTTAAGTACAGACATACAGTCTGAGACCTACAGCACAAATTCTGTAGAGATTTCCATTACAAGGACTTCATGGGAAATATGAATTCAAATGTTTTATGAGATTAAAAAAAATGAGAGGACTCAGATTTCAAGGGCCTGTAATATCAAAAAAATCAAAATAAATGGTTTAAAAACAAGGAAGCAAACAATATAATAGATTCACTTACCAGTATCTGAGATGTACGCATGGAGCTGAACTGTCTCATCAGGAGGGACATTTGAAAGGTCATCTAAGGACTGCAGGGTAGGGGAGAGAGGGGAGTAGGAAAAAATGGGCCAGAGAGAATAAGATCAGATATACATCTCATTTGAGAGATGCATTTTGATTCATCTACTTAATTTTCAAACTTCCAGTTCACTACACTAATAGAACAGCTTAATGCACTGCAAGAATGCAAATAAGTATTATCTGGTTATTAAAGCCTTCCTTTTACAGAGTGTAGGGCCCTTCATTTTCCTTGCCATTTTCACACAATTTTGTGATCACTAACATATTTGTCACTTTCGTTTGAGACCCCAACTCTAAGAGAAGCTACAATAATCTTTTACTGACCATTAGAGAAAAAAAAAACAACAAAAAAACTCCCAAAAAACTGGGGAGATAGAGATCACTTGGGTTTATCTTATACCATTATGTTTTCTTTCAACTGACTTAAAGCACTAGACAAAAGTTACAGCGCAGTAGAACTGAAGAGTTTCTCTTTTCTCACGAATGCTTTCTGTGGGAGAAAATGAAGAGGTACACCCTGAGTTGGCTAATGGCCTGTCTCCATATTCATTATTACTGCAATCAGACAAAGCCTAAAGGGTCTTTTAAAACAGTTTTGCTATTATTTAAAATTAACACATCTGACTGCTAGGATTTAACATACTTAAACCCTTGAAGATTGTTGGGTGAAAAAGTTGCATATGCAACTGAAAGAAATAGAGGATGGACCACTACATATGTGATCCTGATCTTAAATTACCAAGTAAAAAAAAAGCGTTGGAGGTACTTAAGTAGAATTCCCAAAATTCTAAATTCTAAAATTCTTCAGAGAAACACTTTCAGAATTAATATTGTTATCTGCTATCTTTTAGAGTTTAAGCAAGCCAGTTTAATAGCGAGTTGCCACAAAAAGTTAGGTTGGACTTGAAAATATTAATTATTTAAAGACTGTTCTTGCCCCTTCTTCATCTGAAGCTTTATCATCTCCATGATATCCCAATATAATATTCCTCTCCTTCCTACCTCAGCTCTCTAGATGGAACTGCTCTTCTCTGCCTCAGCCACCTCAATCAGTCTCTGCCTAAACATCCACCATGGAAGATGAGAGAAATAACATTTCTCTGATAAAGTCTAGATACTGAACAAAAGGCAGCATTGAAAAGGTCTGAACGCACTAACTATGCTTTAACATGCATTGCAGGAAAGAGTCTCCTAAGTATCTTATGATACAGCTTGCACACTTACAGTACTGAAGTCCCAGACTAAGAAAAGGTAGAAGAAAGTAGAGCCCATTTGGGAAATCTGTTTTGCCACTGCACGGTATAGTGCTAAAAGTTTATGCCTGTTGAATGGCAGAACAGATGAATTCATGCAAAAATATTTTGACAGCAGACATCATCTTTACCTCAAGAATTCCCAAATCTATAAGTTCCTGGATGCTGGAGAGTATTCTGGTAAAGTATCACCATAAATCATCTGTTTCTTTAATCTTTACACTTGCTCTCGGTCATTATTGGACACAGGGCTAGACTTTCGCCAACCTAAGTCCATTCTTGACCAAGTCACCCTAGAACAGCAATAACCCTGTAGGATGTGCTGCTCTATACTGCACTGTCCATATCTAGAAGCAGAATATTAAACTAGCCAACAGCAGGCATTGGTGGAAGCTTGGATAAGTGCTTGATATTCTGAAAGCTCGAGGATTTGATTATTGGTAAGATGGAAGGGATGTTTCGAAAGAAGACATGTAACAGTCAACTGCTCAAATTTTTTATTTGCTACGAAATACTGACATTAAGGTACTGTTATATTCTTTTTTAAGGCATCATTATTTCTTTTTTTCCTGCTTCCTTTCATTGCCACTCTGACAGCTCAATTTTCTTCTTGATAACTGAATGAGGTTCAAACTGACTCATACTAATAACTGCCAAAAGTTCAACCCAGCCATTTCTGCTGCCCATTCAAGGTCTTGGATAGGTAACACCTGTGTAACTCCTGCTCACTCAATGGAAAAGCAGCATGTAAAGCTCCTATTATGGATCCATTCAGATGAAATCTGCAGGAGTCTGTTAATATTTACAATGGTTTTATACCCCCCAAAAGTGCCCTAGTCATTTAATATGGCAGACTAATGTGTCAAATTAAAGGGGAGAAATTAAGATATTTTTGTAAAATAACTTTTCCTCAAAATAATTTTGAGCCTCTCTTCCAAATTCTTCCAGTGAAAGTATAAAATGTAGACAATGTATTTCATAATAGAAACTTCAGGAAACACTCAAGTGCTGTGGCACAGCACTATACAACAACAATTAATACAAGTAAATTAAAAGGTTGAAACTTGAACAGATAACACAACAGACAGACATTTAATATGACCTAATATCTTTACCATTAGGTATATACACAGGAACATGAGTTAATTAAAAAACCAAAAATATCACATCACAACCCAATCTTCTTTAATACATTGTCATTAGCTACAAGTACAGAAATTCCCTGACCTTTGAAGTAACCTTTCCAAAGTCTATTTTTCTTCACATAACAGACTAACACAAGGGAGCTAAACTATGTGTATAGAAATTTACTCTTGACATGGAATTCAGCCAGAAAAAACTAATCTACCAGTATTCAAACACCTGTAAAAGCACTGAACACCCTGAACAATATGGACTACAGAACAGCAAAAGCAGTTCTTCATAAATAGAAATTTATTGTGTATTTTTGCTAGAACGCTCTTCACTCTTTATAAAACAAAATAAATGTAGTACTCTATATATACCCTGTTAACAACAAAAACAAAAATCAAGACTTTGACTTGTCCCATACAAATACCTATTTGTATTGCAATAGTGCTTGATAAAGGCTTTAAGACTTTGCACCTTAGCTTGGGAAGTCACATGAAACTAAGCAGCAGATAACAACTTAGCCAGATGAGCCACCACAATGCCAAATACCTGTCATAAGATATGACTTTGATATGTCAGAGCATTATTAGGAAGAGTACTTAAGAGATATCTGAAAGACCTTTTTAAGAGATTAGTCGATTAAATTACTCTCTTAAGAAGTGTTTCCATTTTAAACAAACCCACAAAAAACCCAAAAACCCCACATGGAAACATGTTTACATTTATGTTAAACATATTCCTTTACAAAAACCACTATTTCTCTGCATGCAACCATGATCTAATCAATGCAGTGGGACTCCTAAGGAGCCACAGCATCCTCCAAGCATGACTCCGAAGGACCTATGAATAACATAAGCCAGGAAATTGCATGCAGACTGTAAACCTTTACATAAACCTTTATAAAACTAGAAGATTTGGAAACATACTCTTATATGCCAAATTGAACCTTGCATACCTTGTGGCTCAGCTATGCACAGTCTGAAGAAACCAGTAAGAGAGAGGAGAGAATATACATCAATATGTTTATGGTTTTTTCTTTTTAAATAACTGTATTTGATTTTTGGGTTTGGTACATTCATATTCTGGCAAACTGATGTAGTCAAGAATTGCTAAAAATAAATTGCTAATAAATAAATTGCTAATAAATAAAAAAAATGAACTTGAAATTGGACAGATTAGAATACAAAGATTCATGTTCCGAATAAACTCCACATACTTGTATGTTTCCAAATCAAGTCCTAACACAAAAGAATAATGAACCTATAAAAATCTAATTAAATGCCTCATTTTGCAGTCTAGTTGAATTTAATCCTTCGAGATTTCTGTATCAAAGGATTTGTTTTCACCTATTATTACCTAATTCCAAATTTATAGCTATTTAAGAAAATCAAACAAGGATAAGAAAGTATGGTTTGCATATATTAACTGTTTCTGTGAGAAACAATACAAAATTTCATTAAACATAGGGTCAAGTACAAAAAGAGCAGTGTTATCTTACAGATTAACTAATAACTTGTGCATTTTAATTTGATTTCAGAACTTGTTCATAAATTAAACTGTGGTGAAGCAAAACCTCTAATGTACGTAAGTTAAACCAATTTGTAACACTTTCTCCATTGTTGGGGGTGGTGGGAATGAATAAAAATCCAAGCACTTACCAGATTTATGCTACCAGTAGGAGACCCATTAAAAGATTCTGGGAAAAGTGAGGAAGAGGAAAGGAAAAAACAGGTTAGAAGACTTTTCTCTCATGTAGAGCCACACATTAAAAAAAATGGACAAAACAATACAGAAAATAAAGAACAACTGTGGCATTGGGAAAATGATGCACGCAACATGCAAGTGCTTCAAATAGTCCAGATAACCTTTTTTAAAGTTTATATCCCCACATGAAATCATTTCATTGAGGAATGACTTTAATAGTTAAAGAATTCCCATTGGATTTGTACTTCAGTTAACAATGACTATTTGATTTAAAAAGTCACATCTCCAATATACTTTCATTTTCTATTTCCAGATGAAGAGCTGTGCTGGTTTGAGCTGGAGTAGAGTTACCTTTCTTCATAGAGGCTAGTATGAGGCTATGTTTGGGTTTTGTGCTGAATACAGAGTTGATAATGCAGAGATGTTTTTGCTGTTGCTGAGCAGAGCTTACACAGAGCCAAGGCCTTTGCTGTTTTCCATACTGCCATGCTGGCAAGGAAGTTGGGGATGCATGGGAGATTGGGAGGAGACACAGCTGGGACAGGTGACCCAAACTGACCAAAGGGATATTCCATACCATATGACATCATGCTCAGTATATAAGGTGGGAGGAAGAAGGAGGAAGGGGGGACATCTGGAGTGATGGCGTCTGTCTTCCCAAGGAACCGTTACGCGTGATGGGCCCTGCTCTCCTGGAGATGGCTAAACACCTCCTGTCTTCGGGAAGCAGTGAATTAATTCCTTGTTTTGCTTTGCTTGTGTGTGCAGCTTTTGCTTTCTCTATTAAACTGTCTTTATCTCAACCCATGAGTTTTTGTAGCTTTTATCCTTCTAATTCGCTCCCCCATCCCGTTGGTGGGGGAGTGAGTGAGAGGCTGTGTGGTTCTTGGCTGCTGCTGGGGTTAAACCACAACAAGAGCACAGTTATGTATTAAGACAACTCAACATACTGAAGAGCTTTAAATATTTTTGGATTTAAAAAAACTAAAGAGTTCATATTTATTTTAATGACATCTGTTACCAAGGCCTGACAAAAATTTATATGAGATTAATAAAGGTACTACAGGAAAAAAAAACCTATTTGAGTCACAAAACAATTCATACACAAAAGAACAAGGATGAAATGTTAATTTAAGTATCAGAGACACCACAGGAACTATTTTATTTCTTTAAAACAGTGTGAAAATTTTTCTTATTTTAAAGCAGAGAAAAGAACAGCTCTGGGAAATACCCCTTACAGATAGAGCTCACCTACTTCACCATCATCTGATCCTCTGAAACTGGGATCCTTCAGCATATCCAGCTCAGCTAACATACGCACATATAACACATTCTGTTTGAACGAAGGGTAGAACCTTTCATCTCGCAGCATCAACTCGTACACCTTATTGAAACAAAAACACCAACTTCAGAAACACTTCTTACATTTTTTAATTAATCAGACTAGTTTTCATAAATTCTACTTAAACAAAATGTATCTGTTCACATGTGTCTCTGACATACTGTTAATGGAAAGGTTATGAGAACTAATTGTGCCAGAAGTACAACAGTCTCAGAAAATACCTAACCAGCAAGACATGAAGATCTAGGAAGGGAAGTAGCAACACAGCTGTAAATGCTTCCATTGTCTCCTCTTTACCCTTTCAATTGCATTATAAACATATTTGGTCTCTACCCATTTCATAACAGGTTCTGAGTCCTTCTTTGTTGATAAACTATAAATGTAGACCTGCAAACATTTAAGGGGATCAGGTGAGAACAGGGAAAGGAAGGAAGGGAAGACACTGTATGCTACTTTCCTGGCAATTTCCAGTTCAGACAATACAGTATAACCCTACCTCACAGAAATTTAACTATACCAGCTCTAAAAATTTATCAACGTAGCCTATACAGTATATATACAAGTACACACATTTATCTATACATAGCAGGAATTAATTCATAATGTTTGGATAGTCCTGTCAGCTCTAGAATACTTTAATGACTTTTTTTTCCATGCAACACCATTCGAGTGCTATCATCTGGTAAGAATGGAAAAAAAACCCATGCCAATCTGAGGAAGTCCATTTCTTTTGTAATGCATGAGAAATTTATGCTCTTCAGCAGAAATCGCACGCAAGGCCCTTGTAACCTACTTGGAGCAACAACACATTTCACAAGGTGCATTCATTAGTCTGAAATGTGGGCCTCAGGTGCAACAGTGTGATTCTAAGTTCTACAGCACATATCACTAATTTTTAGCATCAATGAGAAAATTAAGTTGATGACCTAAAATAAAAACCTCTCTGACTTGGTATATAAGTTACTGCCAGAACATTAATCATTCACTTTTCCTTTTTAACTATATATACTGGATTTGAGTGATAAAGTTTACATACAAAGGGAGTAAAACTACTGTTTTTTCTTCAGTACTTGCTGCATCTGAGTGCTACATTGTGCAGGTTTGCAGAAACAGAGCAGTCAAATTAACTTCTGGAAAAAGATATAGAACTTATTATGGGACCATTACATCCACCTTTGAAAATGAGACCTAAAACTGAACCAAAACTGTACCACTTATTCTTGAATTGTTGTGTAAACACAAATAATAATACTGTAATTCTAAATTGTCCTTCATAATTAATTGCATACAGGGCACCTACTCTGTCTATTGCTTTGAAAATCATGGGCATGCATATGGCTAAGCAGAAGTTGACAATTTAGAGCGTGACATTTTTATAGAATAGCAAAATGGTAACACAGGTTTTAGGTTTAGATATTTCAGTTCCTTCTTTTGCAATGTCTGTAATGATGATGTTTAATACTCTATAGCATTAACAGTTCTTATGAAATATGGCATGAACAGAATATACCTTTCTCTGAATGTCATCAAAGATTTCAGGTGTTGGATCCTCATGGTTCAGTGTTTCTGCAAGTTTTGCTACTAAGTTGTCATCAATATTAACTCTCGGAGATGCCTGTCATAGAGATCTAAATCAACTTTTGCAGCATAAAAGTAACAAAGTTCTATTGTAACAAACAAAATCCAATGAACTGCTGCAATGCTCTAAATAAATTCTTCTTGATGAATATAACTGTCTAGAGCACACAACAGGAGTCAGACCCTCTCCTCCCCCCAAATTAGGTTCAGAATCTGTATTAAAACTTTCATGATTAAACACTAAAAATTGCCTCAAAATCTATTTATGCCTATTATTTTGAAACAGAAACTAAACCAGATTTACTCAGACTTAAAAACAGATTTTATTTATGTATGAATAGAAAGACTGAGATTCATAAATCAAGAACAAGCCAGTAAGAAAGTAAATGGATGAAGTCCTGAAACATTCTGAGGAAAAGAATACAATTTGTCAATTCTGCCAGTATGTGGAGAGGTTACTGAATCATTGCAGCTTTTTATGCAGACTCTACTACAGCTACCAACATACTAGCTCTATCAGCCATGAGACTGCCAGTCATTTCTTGGTATGACATACTCCAAACCACTGGCCATTGAGTATTCTTTTAGATGGGCTCGAGTTTGTACACTTTCCCCTTTTCCATAACTGAGACAGCACTGAACCAGACCCAGCACAGCTCACTTGACAGAAGAGCTGAGAGGCTGAGTTTATCAGCACGATGACAGACTTTTGAGGTGATAAAACAAAGTAAAAGAAATTACGTGGAAGAGAACATTACTAGATATTTGGGGGATTATTTCTTGAAAGAGGCTTTTGAGTGAGAGGTGATTTTTATACACAAATTCAGAACAAAGATGCTTTGTTAACACAGGTTGACTAGTGGTTTCTTTCATAGAAGAATCCATTACTGCCTATTGAAAGATACCCAATGGCGATATTTGAGCAATTTACACAGACAATTGCAGGAGATGCACAGGGAGTTATTTCATTTGAAAACACAATCTTAATCCAAGTTTGGACAAATACAGGGCTGCATTTTCTTAAAAACCATTTCTTAAGGTGGCAGGCAAGGGTGGAGGGCAGAGCAAAAGGAAGGGAAAGGACAGCATACACAAAAGGACAGTATTTTTTATTCTGTCTTCACAATGTCTCTGGTTTGTCTATTCTAGAAAAATCAGCTTCTGAGGAACACCTTCAGTGCACCTGACAGGATAGTCAATGTCAATACGAGCCTTTTTACATGCAGGGGGTTAAAACTAAAAAAAAAAAAAAAAAAACCAAAAAAAACCCCTAAAGAAAGAAGAAAGGAAGAAATTTTCTTACTGCTTGATATAAGGAGAGAGAGAGAAGAAACACAAGTAATAGCTTAAATGTCAATGTGTAAACAACTTGTACTACAAAACAACCATTTCGTATTAACTTAGCCATAACTATCAAAGAAGTCTCTGTACGGAGAACAAATGCCAAACAACAGCATTTGTTATAACAAAAAATAAGTTATTCCTACCTTTTCTGATAAATATTGCTCATAGACGCCAAATGCAGCTGCTCTTAATAGACCCTTGGTCTGATTAGTCTGATGCTTTCCATCTTTCTGCCGGCTTTGAAGTACCTCCAGCTGTTGCTGCGCTGTAACCCTGTATCCTTCCACTGTCATCCAGAAAAACAGATGTGCTTGGCCACCAGTCTGCTGCATGTAATCTACAGAAAACAGCCACCACACAATCGTAGTTACTGTTGTGCATCTTAGAATAAGAATTCTGTGTGAAGTTAACTACATACGGAATTCCAGGATCTGGTTATGCATCTGGAATATCTGTCATACAGAGTCAATAAAAAAATGCTGCATACATACTGGTGATAATCAGTAAACAAAACTGAGAGCAAAGACTAGGAACTGAGGACTGACCCTTCAAATGCACATGTAAAAAGTGAATCCATCATTACTGTGTGGATTATAACAGGCCTGTACAGCGTGACACAAATGAAGAGCAAGTTCAAACTGGAATTCTAACAAATCACGTACATAGAGTCATTTAGATTGGAAAAGATGTTCAAGACCATCAACTGTTAACCTACCACTGACAAGTCCATCACTAAACCATGACCCCAAGCACACCATCTACACGTCTTCTAAATACCTCCAGGGATGGCAACTCTACCACATCCCTGGGCAGACAGTTCCAGTGCTAGACAACCTTCTGGTAAAGAAATTTTACCCAATATCCAATCTAAACGTTCCTTGCTGCAGCTTGAGGCCATTTCCTCTTGTCCTGTCACTAGCTGCCTGGGAGAAGAGACTGACCCCCACCTGGCTACAACCTCCTTTCAGGCAGTTGTAGTGAGTGATAAGGTCTTCCCTGAGCCTCCTTTTTCTCCAGACTAAACAACCCCAGCTCCCTCAGCCACTCCTCATAGGACTTGTGCTAAAGACCCTTCACCAGCTCTGCTGCCATTCTCTGGACACACTCCAGCACCTGAATGTCTTTCTTGCAGCAAGGAGTGCAAAACAACACAGCCTCACCAGTGCCAAGTTCAGGGGGACAATCACTGCCATGCTCCGGCTGGCCATGCTATTTCTGATACAAGCCAGGATGCCACTGGCCTTTCTTGACCACCTGGGCACACTGCTGGTTCATATTCAGCCACTGTTGACCAGCACTCTCAGGTCTTTTTCAGCCTGGCAGCTTTTCAGCCACTCTCTCCCAAGCCTGTTGTGCTGCCTGGGGTTGATGGTACCTAACTGCAGGACCTATCAAACCTCATACAGTTGGCCTCAGCCCATCAATCCAGCCTGTCCAGACCCCTCTGCAGAGCCTTCCTACCCTCCAGCAGACCAACACTCCTGTCCAACCTGGTATTGCTGCAAACTGACTGAGGGTGCTCATTTCATGATCACTTTGCCCAACAGCCTTCAACTACCACATCACCTACAAGTTCTATGTTCCCAAACAAGAGGTTCAGTCGTGTGCCTTTCCAGGTTGGCTGCCTCGCCAACTGTGTCAGGAAGTTATCTTCCACACATTCCAGGAACTTCCGGGACTGTTTCCTCTCTGCTGCATTGTATTTCCGTCTACTGCATTAAAACAACTATCACCAATAATGAAGCAGATGGATATTCTTAGCAATGACATTTAGCAATTCCAAGAATACAATCTGTGAGTCAGAATATTCTTTACAGAACAGATCAGATAAATTAATACTTACCCATAAAAAATTGTAGTGCAACATTGTCTACCAGAATATGGTCCAGAGGGACTGTGCAAAGTTTTCCAAAGTTTGCTGCCAGTTTCACAGTATCTATTTCCTGTAAGACACAGTTCAGTGTGTTCACTGTCTTAATGTTTAATTAGCTTTTAAAACTTCTACTTACAACAAAAGCAGATGTGATAAAAAAATTACAGATAATAAAGCAGCCTTTCACTGATTAGCTATTTTTACAATCACTAATAAGTGAAGATCTAGGTTATAGGTCATGTTCTCGTAACTATCTGCCTTCAACACAGGCACCAGTTATTCTGCTTCCATAAGAAGCTGGCTTTTAATACTGCTGTTCATGTAACACTGAACAGGTCAAATTAACCCCAAATCCTTCACCTACAGCAACAATAGCAGAAATTAATTAAGAAGAACTAATTTCAGCATCTGATGGGCTGCAGGTCACCCCAACTTAAATGCATCTCTGTCCAACTGTCTTCTGCCAATCTGACATTTCTTGCTATTACAGTAATGCTTGCAGGTCCAGCTGCAGAATGCTTAATCATTTTAATGGACAATATACACAATTATCTTGAAGCCACATCTTGGTCCAATTAATAGAGTCAAGAAGCTAAGTAAAGCCAAACATACCGATTTGGCGGGCCTCAAATTATAAAAGAAGCAAACAGAACAACTAGCCAGACATTTGCAACTTCACTGTTTTGGAACTAAATGAAATAGTAAAACACTCACTTTTCCTGACTGCAACCTCTGAATTCTTGAATCACATACTTTAATAACATATAATAAACTGTTTATTTGATTTTTTATAGTGTTGATATCTGAAAGCAAAAACAAAGAGGATTAAGCAATGCAGATGAGCAAACTCTTGTTTTCAAATGTACTTTCATACAAAAAATGACCTACCACATACGAAACATACCACCTCTGAAAAGAAGGTGAGTTTTTTCCAGTTTCAATAAATTACTGGTGGAAGTGAACAAGAAGCAATACTTTTTGTCTTTCCTTTTTCGGATTAATAGTTACCTGACGACCCACTAAATTCAGCAATGCTTTAGGTATTACTGAAACTCAGACCCACCAGTCAGGGAAGCATCAATTCAATGGAGGTGTACTTACCCAACACCAATTAGTCCACATTTAAAACAAACACCAACAAAACACTTCTGAAAATTTAAGTTCTAACACTTTGCAAGTCATTTACGTATTTTTTAAATAAAATATTTTATACTATGCTGCACTGGAGTTTTTATTTTCTAAATTTTTTACATATTCTTCAGACATTGTCCTGGTAAATGCATTTCATATATTGCAAAACAGTTCAGCACTAACCATCTCCCGCTGTATCTAGAGATCGAAGATACTGCAGTTCTTCACTTGCTTTATCTTTCACTGCTTCCAACTCTCCTATATTATCACTTAATTTAATAATATTCATAAAGGCCTCATAGTTACAGTTGGAATCACGAATCTGAAACACAAAGTTTTACAGTATGAGTAATGTCGAACAGCTAAAAGCATGGCATGATTTTTCACTGAGTGAAATACTTTGATATCTACACCATCCTTTTCTGTTTTCAGGACGTACAACACAGACACATGGGAAGTCTGTCAACCTCAACGAAGGTTTTTCCCAAATCCAGTCAACTTTCTTCTGCTATTACCCATCTCCTTAATTAAGTAGGTGGAAACTGGTGAGACCACTGAAAAGGTTCAGCTTTACCAAGCTCCCCTGCAACTGCACATGCTCCTGAAGTAATGGCTTCTTATATTACAGAATTACAAAAAGAATTAGAACATTCTACAACCTAATCATAATCTGTTGGAAGGGACAGGGGGATGAGAAAATAACTGAGTTAATATCCTCTCTGGAACCCTAATTCAGATACCCTTGCAAATACTATTAAGCTATTTCAATACATACTGTTTTAGCAGTATTGGCATAGGGTGAACCTGCTCTAGGGACTCAAAGGAATTTGTGCAAGTGAAGGAAGCCTGCTGTGCTGCCAGGATCAGTGGAAACTGTGTTGTGAATGCAGCACAGAGATCAGGGGAAGGTTGGCAGCTTTACAGCATGTGCACACAGGTGCTGAGGATTGATTTCTAATGTTGTCTTTACCATCTGAAGCCAAAAAAAGTCACTTCACCCACATCTTTTATAAATGCTCACTTTGATATGGAAATGTAATACTTGGTCTGTACCACAGAACTGCATTGACATGAGCTGCACGAAGCAGAGACTATGAAGTCTGAATACCATTGAACAAAGTTAATGGAAAAATCTCCCTAGAAATCTGCTTTTAAAAGTAATAGTACAAGTAACACTTCAAACATTTTGTACAAATGTGAATTTCACAGTGAAGTTGGAATTAACTTCCAATTCTATATTGAAGTTTTGTGTTTTATTGCAAGAGAATTAGTATCCAACTGTGGTATGCCTGGAAACCTGGAATTAAAGCTTCTCATTTTCAGAATCTGATTTTTTTCATTCAAGTCTGATTTTGTGTCAAAGGTTCCAAAAGGAGTCAGGATATATTTCAGTCATCTCTACTTCTGACCTTTCTGCAACAATCTTAATTTCATAAGACTTGTACTAAATTTTTGAAAGCATTTATGATTCCTTATCTTTCCACCAGCACATTTACTTCCTCATCTCAGAAAGCAATTATGAAAATTAATATTTAGGACATCACCATTATCACAGAAAGCTTTATAAAAAAACCTCAGAATTCTATCTCTGGATGCAGCCGGGGGCAGTGCTCAGTAAATAAAGAACGAGGCCAAGTTACAAATAAAGAACATGCGTAGGAGGAAAGGGGAATCAAAAATTGGAAAGTCTGGTCCATATGAGCAGTGTTTTTTCTTACTAACACCAGATTCCTGCAGAAAAGCAGCATGCAAACTTTGACATGGAATGGAGGAGGCTACAGTGAAGGAAACACTGCACATGTACACTTGAATTCATTCCATACATAAGAACTTTGAAATGCAAGGGTGTTTTCAGCATAGTACTTGAATGTACACTCTAAGACTAAAATATACAAATAAAAATAGCGAGAACTTGAGAAAGGGAAAAAAAATTAAACTTTATTATGAACTATAAGGAATAATAAACTATAATCTTAAGTTTCACGTTGCTTTGCAAAAAATCAGTAACCTTAATTAAAGCATGAATATGCTATTTATATTAACTTTACTATATATTACTACTTTCAAAAGTCTGAGGACTTTTTTGCAAGAGCATTAGAGAGTTATCAAAGTAAAGACTTTCTTTCCAGCTAAATGATTAAGGGTTACTGTAAATTGCACTAAAACAATCATCCTGAAATTCCTTAGCAGAATATAAAAGATAAATGTTACTATTTTCCACTCTTGAGACCTCTTAAACTTTAAAGGACACACTGTAAACATGGTCAAGGGAAAACACTTCCACGGTTACTGCCATACTTCCTGAACAGCCAAGTAAAACAGTCAGAGGAGTCAACTTTATACTCTGCCATACATTTGTCCTCAGTGAGACAACTTTTGCAAAACAATCACAACAAAGAGTGCAGGTAATACAGATAAAGTGTGAGTGCAAGTGTGCATGTGTTAAATTTAGTACAGCAGCCATATGTCCACTATCTCTGCCAATATACCCATTGGTAACTTTTGCACCAGACATCTATCTGTCATGGTTACAGGCAACACAAGTAAACCTCTGTATGAAAATATTTTGAAAATATCACTCATTTTTAACATTTCAAATCTTACCATCCATATGACATACTGATTAATATAATCAGGATCACTGAGCTGGTTTATTAATGGAAGAAGAATTCCTCGGGAGAGGATTTCCTGAAAAACAAAATATAATAAATAATTTTCTTCATAAAGTTAATATAACTGCAAGTGTAAAAATCACTGTGTAGAGGCTAAATAAAAAAAACATTTGACTGCAGAAAATATTTAATAGGCACTAGCACATTCTCTTCCAATTAACATTACAAAATGTTAGTACCTTAAGAAAAGCAACATCCCTTTGATTAGGCTTTTCTAATGTTGCCAGACATAAAAGAACCTTTAAAAATACTTCACACAGATTGTTTTCTGCTATTAAAAACTTGCCAAGACTGTAATGCATTTAGAATACCCTAATATTAAATTAGATCAATTTTACAAAATAATGTAAGAACAGCAGTTTAGTTCTAGAAGTTTTTATGATATTAGAGCAAAGAATTGGGATGGCTCTTAGAGTCTGTACTTACCCTGACAAAGTATCGCATGATCTTGTTCTGGAAGTCTCCAGGAGGTAGCAATATATACAGTAAAACCTCACACAGATCCCTTAGGAATCCTAGGGCAGGAGAACAAAAAACCCTCAGCATAATTTTATATTATTTCACATCTTACCTGATATCATAAAATTCAACAGATATAGCCTTAAAATTAAATTCAAATATACAGTCTTACAGTCCAAGCCTTACAGTAGCACCTTTCAGACTGAATGTATCAGCATTGATGTTAACCTGAGACAGATTTAGAGCCTCAAAACCAATACAACAAAATCAAAATTCCAAGATTAAAAAAAACCCCAACTCTACTGTATCTTCCTTATTAACATATACAGGGTTTTTTCCTCCTCCTTCAACACTTTGCCCAAAAAGACAGACTGTTTTGGGCTTTTTAATGCAGATTACAGAGTAGTGATAAGGAAGGCACATCTAACAAAAAGTAGTAAGAATCTGCAAAACCACCCTCTTCCTCCCAGAAAACACATTCCTATCTTAAAATTCTTCCAATGAAAGGAGGAATACTTATATATGTGCATACTTCATTGTAGTTATAGCACTGAAATGTAGAAATTAGAGGAAACATACATGCATAGTAGAAAATCACCCCTCGAAAGTCACATGCTACGATTTCAGTGTAATTCATGTTGTGTACACAATTGTTAGCATTTTACTTTAATCTCCTATACTAAAATATTAATTCAGAAGTAACATTGAAAGACCTTCTTCATCTTTGGGAGAAGTGCAGACTAGATCACGACAGACTTCTTTTTCCATTTCAACTTCAACCTCAAAGAATGTATCTACAAGTTCCTCAGCTTGATCTACACAAAAGAAAATAAAAGGAAAAATACTTTTGTAAAGATGAGAAACTTAAGAGCAAACCTGAATTACCAAATAAAGCTAACTGTATCTCACACGTGTAAGATAACCCCCCTACTCAGACCCAAATAAATAAATAAATAAATAAATAATCATACCTTTCATCTGATCTCCTTTCTCTGCTATTCTTTGCTGAGCTTTTCTGAAAACTCGAAGATGAGTGCCAAAGTCATCAACAAGTCGTGTAGTGAAATAAGGCTGCCAGTCTGTTTCCTTTGACCTATTAGTAAAGGACATTCGTGAAAATGAATTGTTTTATGCTGAACACAAAGAACAATAATAAATTTCTATTTCTCTTGCCTCTCTGCCAAGAATCACACTGATAGTAAACATGGAAAAACAAAGAAATGAGCCTCCTAATTGCCCATCCACTGAAAACTAACCAAATATTGCAAAATTCCACTTTTGCACCACATTAATTTTTACGTGTGAACTAGTTTAAAGTCAACATTACTATCTGGAATAGTGTTGTCAAATATCTATGAGAAATCCTTATATAAACAGTTTACAACCTAAAACTAAAACACCCTCCAGGTCTTTTTCAGCTGTCCTTTCTATTGTTTTGAAAGGCACCTAAACAAAATAATTTTCTTCTTAATTTGCAGAATATCCTTAAGTAAGAAAATATATTTCACTTGAAGCTAAAAGCAACTTAATGTTATCCACAACTGATTCTACAGTTTACATGAGGTACTAAGCGTGCACCTCCAACAGTGCACATAGGTTTATATCAGAAAATAGTCATTGTTAGATTTGCATAAAGCTATTTCCTTAGCAGTATAAAGAAGGTACAGAGATAGTCTTATGGTGTCTCTGCCTTACTAGCCAAATTAAAAACGCAGTTTTGCGTTATAGTTTTAACAAAGCTCGATGTTAATATTGGCTCTTACCCTGCACTAAGTATTCTATTACCTGAACTCTCTTACACACCTTATTTTGTTATAACAGAATCCTTCTACAACATTTCCTTTTTTGTCTTTGCTCCCTCACCTGCTCTTTCTTCCCTTGTGGGGAGAGAAAGGGATAAGGAACTCTGGAAGAAAAGGGAGCTTTCTGTAAAACCTCGATGTGGAAATAAGAAGCAGAGCTGTCTCCAAGAGCAGTCGATCAAACCGTGCATTAATAGTTGAGATCCACCATCCGCACAGTGACAGAACAGCACACAACCGCTAGGTGGCAGCCTTACACCAGGCGCCAAAACGTGCAGCACTCATGGAACAAAAAATTCCCACTGCATTCATTCTCCCCAAAAGCTCACAGGGTGTATTAAATTAGAGGCGATGGTACTAATCTAAACCGCTACAGCTGTATCTAACTACAGTCATTAAAAATACACTACATCATTTTTCTCTGCATAAGAGCTGCTGCAGCTTTGTGAAACTGATTTGCTTCGTACAGCCGAACAAAACTGCACAGGAGTGGTGCCTATTTTTGAAGAGCTATAGTACTGTAGAAGAAAATCCCAATTTACTATAACTTGACCTGCTTTGACACAAACTCAGTGCTTGATACTGTGCAATGAAGTAACTTTACCAAACAGACAAAACCACTGAGCTGGGTGGCCAGGTCTGTTCCATATAACTATAGGTTTGGTTGCAGATAGCAGTTTACTGAGCAGTTTTCACTATTTCCAACACTGCTTCTGAGTATTTTCATTATTTCACAAACAATAATATTACAATAATATTATAATAATATTATA